AGTACTACTATTTACCGAGTATTTAATAAATAAATACAAGCTAATACTACAATTATATAGATAGAGGAACATAATAGATGCGTTCAGCAGAACGCAACTGTTGCGCAACTGATAAGTTGCAACATTAAGTATTCTATTAAATGCCCTTATGATATTAGCTACTGCATGCGTGAGTATATAAAAGAATCTAATTTTTATATGCAGAAAATATTTTTTACTTTTACATAAAATATATTTAAGCTATTATTTATACACATTTTTAATCTTCCATTGACAATGATAGACAGTAGGGACTTTTCATGTGCATTAAAAATGTCTGTACTAAATTGTTAATTACATTGTCACATATATATATTGTACTTCCAAGAAAGAATAATACATTGGAGACAGTCATTTTGGTCAATGCATTCTGATTGAGATTCAGCGTAAGTGTTACGCTGAGTTTTAATTTGCTGGAAATCATGGCAATTGCTGAGTAAAAAAAAAAATATGTTGAAATGTTGAATGCGTTTAAGACTGTTCAGCAGACAATCATAAAATGATTGCAAGCTGTTGCATTTTACCCGATGTGCTAATTATATAAAAATACAATTATATAAAACAACAGATGCAGAATACACGCATTACATGTATATATAATAGATAAAAATTAATTATACTTTAAATAAAGTTTATCTAGATTTTACTTCAGATTAGATAAGATTTTTAATGTCAGAGATAAAAAACTAGAATTGTAATAAAATGATATGTATTATATACGTATATATACATGTATATGCGTTTTGAATCATTGACAATCTGTACACTGTAAAAAATAGCGGTGTGAACTTAACACCATGTAATGTCTATATAATTTTCGTATTGGTGTTAAATTTACACCAACATAGTGTGGATTTAACACCATGGATGTAAAATCTATGGATATTAAATCTACACACCCATGGTGTCAAATCCACGCCATGTTGATATTAATTTAACACCAACATGTTGAGAATTATATAGACATATTCAGGGAAATCGAGACTGACATTTTCTAGAATGTAATAAATTGGAAAATATCATAATTATTGAAGAAAAAATTAATGAAAAGATTAATGAAATGGGCAAAGAGTCATTCCTAATCATTCCTCTAAGAAACGACGGATTGCGAAGCAATGGATAGAATGCACACAGATTCACCCCCGCAATGGACTTTTATACGAGTTACAGTTGTGGAGTGGGATATAAATGGAAAAAGAGGGTAACACGTAGGCAACGCCATTATACCATTAGAATAATCAAATCTCGGATGACCTGACGCGAGCGGAAGGAAAAGAATCGCGCTTTGAAGCAAGTTTACGCATTACATTACGCAATATTACGTATTACATTATGCCGTAAAAGAAATGTTGCGATAATATTAAGAAAATTAGACCATGAAATATATATCTAAACATCTTTAATCATTCATAGCAAAAATTGCAATATGCACATATATATATATTTATCATTGCTTCTTTTCCGACTAACAAATCTTTTTCATTTAATTTTTAAATCATGACTTAATAAATCAATATTATTATTTTGTTATCATTTATTGATAATTATCTTTATTTTTAGTTTCCGTGTGTTAAAAGTGTTGAGATGCGTTACGATGTATTATAACACATACATCTACGTATTCCTATCAAATACACGCTTTCTTTTTAACCCTTTTGACATGCATGATAACGCTTCGTATATCATAGCTCACCATATCTATCATCGAGGTTAAATAAATAAACGCAACAAAATAATAATATGAATAATTTACAATAAAGAGCTAAATATTATAAATTAATAAATTAATAAATTAATAAATTCAATTAATCTTCACAAAATTTTTATTATACTTAAATATTATGTTTATATTATCTATATATTGGTAGTTAAAATTGTAAGAGTTTTTATATCTGTACATATTGCATATGAAAATATGTATGCTAACGCGTGTTTGACATACGCTATAAATAAATTTTAAATTATAATAAATTATTCAATATTAATAATTCATTAAAAATTAAATAAATAAATCATTATCCTTCCTTAAAGACATTATCCAATTAATGCCTTTTTTCTGTTCATTTATATTATCCATGTACATACGTATACTTACTAATTATTGACAAATATAAATAAATATAAATAAAGTACGAAAATGTGTGCATGGAAAGTATAAATCAATGTACCGTCCAGAGGTTAAAACATTATAAATCTGAGTTAATTTGACTTTTCTGCATAATACGAAAGCTTTAAAAATTTATTAAATGTTCATACGTATCTTGTTATATCTTCAACATTTAAATATACTTTTGTGTTATCTCACCGTGTCTAGCACTCAGTGGACTGGCGGGACTCCGTGGATGTTCCGAAGTCGTTTCATTCTGTGTTTGCTGATGTTGATGATCTTCAGTCGCCGTGACTGTCGCTGCCCCGTTCATAGTGCCTCCTCAAGCATTCGTTATCAGATGTCAAACGCGCTAAAATCGTTATACAACTCCTTTATACCGTGACTTAACGATTTTAATATAAAATATAAAACATATAAACGCCGTTAAACATGTTTTTCTTGCAACCTAGCGAAACTAACTTGTTTTAATGAAATATCTGTAAAATTAGTTTATGATTTTAACTCATTTCGAAAATTAAATTTAAGCAATTTTAATGAACAAAATATTGCAATAAATTTGACGTATTTATTCTTATAATTTAGGAAATCTTATTTCTAAGAATTTTTTTAACTGATATTAATACTCTGAAGTTAAAAAAGGATGATTTCAAATATTTTTTTCTAAAAATTCTTTTCTAAAGTAAATATCAATTAAATAGTAATTCTTTCTAGTCTTCTTTAGTAATGTAGCCATCTTATTATAATATAGTTTTTATTTCTACCAAAAAGTTTTTCGTTCTTCTTAGTGATGAGAACTTGATCCAGATTTTATTAAAAATCGTGATTTCAAAGTAAATTAATATGCTCATGACCATTTAAAGATTATGCAGACTCACGGGCAGAGCAATTTAAGATTCAAAATCTACACTGTAAAACGTAGATCACTTCTTTTAATCACTGATTTTCACCCTCTTTATTCTATCACCAACTTCTTTAACCGCCCGACTCGATTCAATCTATGGTCCAGTTCTCCGATCCAATAATCACCGGTATCAACGAATGGAACACTTTGGCAATTCCAAAAAAGTCGAAAATTACGAGGCTCGTTTCAGACCGGCACGATTACGTTGAACGTGAGGTGAGAAAAGATATTTTGATACCGCGATTAGGATCGAGCCGGGGGTAAACGTTTACGCGCTATTGCGATCGACGTTCCGCTTCGAGATTGACGCGTAAGCGGAACGATCCTTCGTTGATGTTAGATTGGCGTATGACGTTTGCGGCATCCCTATCCGGGATCTGTCGGGCGAGTTGCTGTTGCCCGTGGATGACGTTGGCGTCGTCGCCACCGCCGCCACCGCCGCCGCCGTCGACGTCGTCGTGGCGCTTGCCGTGCCGTCGGAGGCAGCGGGCGAGCAGTGCCCGACGCCGATTGGTCCGCCGGCACTTTTGAAGGCGGGATCAGGAGGCAATGCCGGAAAAACGACAAAAACGAGGAGCGGGAGGATTTAACCTATAAGCCTCCACGTTTGACGCGTGCCTCGCCACGACGCCCGTCGTCGGGCTGAAGCGCCTGCGCCGACCCCTTCGATCCTCTCTGATGACGCCTGGTCTCTCCCACCCCCGACGACCCGGACTAAACTACCCCCTACCGAAGCGAGACGTTGTCACGGGAAACGACGCCTACCTGAGCGACGGTGCAATTGTTGATCGTTGGCTACACGCCGGCCAAGCTGTCTTTGCTGAGTCGCTTTGGTACCGGATAGTCTGGATAAAAAATGACGATGAACTGAATGCCAACCTAGACATTTTCGATCTGTCGTAGATTAATTTTAGTAAGCAAGAAACATATTTTAAAACATTTTAGTAACATTGCAACTATATACGTATCATAACGTTCAGCTCATCGTCATTTTTTATTCAGACTATCCGGTACCAAAGCGATTACGTTGCTAAGATCAAATTTCGAAAGATGATAAAATGATTAACAAGCGAACATTTGTAAACGGAACTTAATAATAACAATTAAATAAGTTTTTCTATTTTATAATTTAGATTAAACAAACTTTTGAGAAACGTTCACTTGATCAATTCTTATATAATAATTTGTGATATAAGAGTCTTATTAAATAGCTTAGATATGGAAAGTTACGTGTCAAAATTAGCGAGATTATTAAATAAAATGCAGAATCTCAATTTACACACTACATTTAACAATAAATTATATAAATAATAAATTATTATGTAAACAATAAATTATATTTACCAACATTATATTATTTATCAAATTTGAGTTTTTCTAAACAAATATTTCAAACAATTTTAAAAAAAATTGGACTAATACGGAATCTTTTTTGTCGTTTTCATTGAAGAGACAGCATTCAAAAGGAGATGCTAACGGAGTAATTAATTGAACGATCGAACTTTCGACTCCTGAAGTATTCTCCCGGACAAATCGAGCGAGATTCAGGAGAGTGGGTGCGAGCAATTGGTAACGGCCGAAGCCACGCGACGCTGAGCATCGTTGTGATGGCGATGGCAGCGGTGGTGGTGGTGGGTGAAAGCTCGACGCCGTCTAGAGGTTGCTGGGTCGCCGCCATGCTGGATTCCTGCCGTCGCGCGAACCCCTAGTTGCTTTCTGGTAATCGTTGCCAGGGATGCTACAACCCCTCCAGATGAAAGTTGCCACGCCCGGATCGTGGATGGACCAATGACGCCGGGACGTCGCGACGACGGCATCTACCAATAGGATTACCCTCTGATACGCTCTTTCGCTTGTCGGCGACTGCTGCATGCCCTTCCCCTGCAATTCCTTTCGTGAAGCTGGATGCTTTTCAATTTCGGACCCACGGCCTCATAAACGCAGCCAACCCCATCCACTCTCACGCTGAAAGATAGATTGGGATAGAGAAGGGATTGCGAACACAGAGTAGTCAAGTTATTTGGCGTCAGCGTGTCGGTATGCACGCAACAATTGTAATCTGCGTGGAATATCGGGAATTGTGAAGCGGAATAATGTATGTGTGTGCGCGCGCGCGCGCGATTATGCGAATGCATATATGTGACGAGGATAATTCGACACACGCACACACACGCGCACACGCACGCACGCACGCACGCACGCACGCACGCACGCACGCACGCACACAAAACAGGACGTTCCAGAATATTTAAAACTATTTTTTGTATAGAGCAGAGATTAAACTGAGTCGAATGATCCTTTATTTCGCAATTTTCGCAATAGGTAACGAGAGATTAATTTCTAAACAAAAATTGCTAAAGAAGATCATACTACTAAATGCACATTCACCTGTCGTAATAGAAACGCATGGAGTTATTTATTATAAGTAATAAGCGGCAATTATAGTTACGCGCAGGAAAAAAATAACACGTTGAGCGATCGTATCTCGCTGCTTACATTTGGCGATGGGCTGGGCGAATCATTAGAAATTAATATCGTTAACTGTTACAAAAATTGTAAAATAGTACAAGACTTTTTGATTAAATTTAGTTCGCTCTATTTGCACACCAAATATAGCACTATATATTTTAGAATACTCTGTATATATGTACGTCTGAAAAAGTAAAAATAGTATATTGACAGTGATCAATTATATTTGAGTAATGTAAAACGTTTATATTATATAAAACTGCTTATTTGTAATAAAATTATACTGAAAATTATATTCCGATTTTTTATAATGCAACTTTATTATATAAAGTAAATTATAAACTAAAAAATAAAATCATTACAAACAAATATGATACAAATTGAGATTTAATTTGATCCTAAATTTACGATGATTCTAATTTTTAATTTTTCATCAATTTCTATTTAATTTTTGGATAAAAATTTAATATATATAACAGATATATTAACAGATATAATTAATATATATAATTAATTGTCAGAAATAATATATGCAAATTTATATATTATTATATTTTTACTTTCACGACTATTTTCCTATTTTATAACTTCTTCTTCATTTCTTTTTCTATTTGTTATGATAATCGTGTAAATAATATACAATAAAGTTGACGTTAAGTTATAATCTATACTAATATCAAGTCCATCATTTGTCGTGTAAAGTATTATTTCTATCTTAATGCTTACATAAATTTAACATAATAGAGTTACATAATTTCTGTAAATTTTTACTACATATTGAGATTGAGATGCGTAATTATAGATATTATACAATATATATTCTTATCGAAAGATTAAGATTTTCGAGGTATATAACAATTACTACCAATTTCTTAAAAACCGAGTATTTGCGAGACATCTATCAAACCCTTGCTCGCCTCGTTTAATGCCACGCTAGAAAGTAGAACGAGCAGCGGAGAGGAAGTTACTCTTCCTCCCTCGATGAATACCTCAAAGGGGATGTTCCGATCGGTGCGCACATCTCAAGCATCACCCCGCAAATTTATACGCCTCTGCTTTCTTAGCGCGTCTTTTGTGCAATGTTCCTTAGACGAGCGTTATTTTCATGCATGTGTGATAAAGGTATATATGTACTTTATGTGACTTCTCGGAAAAAATTTTTTTTAGCACAACGACGTACGTAATACTAGATTGTGTGTTGCGTTAAGATATACTTGATAAAAAATATTATGACCTTCGATATAATAATGATATTTAACGGCGGGATTTGTTGTATAAAGAACATACTAAAAAAAGCTGTATGTAATAGAAAGGAAAAAGAATATATTTTTAGAAATTTTTCTTAAGATAAAATTTCCACAACATTATATTTTAATGTTTTAATTGTTAAATTAAAATAGATATCCTGTTCATAAAAGTAATAAAATATTTTGTTATACAAGTTATACAGGTACAAGTTTTTTGTTATACAAGTTATTTCGATTTAAAGGTTAGCGGAAATTATTACTTTTTCACTTTCGGTACTGCGATGTGGCCAATTTCCGACTCTTACATTGATCAGATGACAACATGTTAAGGATGATGGAATGCACAATGACAATTTTGGGAAATTCGTTAACAAAGTCCGTTTTTAACTTGATAATTAAATATTTTAATTAATGTACTTTCGTTTGACTTTTATAAACACAAAGTGTTTTTGCATTAATATATGAGTCGTATTTAAGAAAAGATCTTCGCATTTGCTCAGGTCGGGGCACATAGTGATAATTCCATTATCGTTAAAATTAGAAGCTGCAAGACATCATCAACCATTTTGCTTAAATGTCATAGATATTACAATAACGCCCACATTATTATAATACTAAAAAAATATATATTTAATAAACGAACAGAATTGAAAATTTCAAAAATGCATTGTTTATTAGAATTAAAAAACATGCTTATTTCTTGAAATAAACAAGTTTTGAATTAGTTGAAAGATTGGCATGAAAAAGATGCACATACACAAATTTATATGAAAGGAATGATTTATTTAAAACATATATTCAAAAATTGGCAAATAAAAGGAATCTCCAATGATCTTGACAAATGTTTTCCAGGTCATGATCTTGAACAACATTCAAGAGGTTTTATCGAATAACTCTACTGTAGGCGGTACTGTAACTTTCAAGCTTCACAACTCGATAAGTAATTAATGAAAATAAAATTTATTGTAATATTTTAAAAAATTCTTGACGTCAGCTATTATATTCCAGAATAAAAAACACAATATCCTATTTAAAAAATTGATGTGACTTGTTCTTGGCGACCCAAAGTCAAACGGATGTGATCAGTTAATAAAGTTTTTTAAACCTTACAACTTTTGTCTGAATCATTCTTCTCAAAAATGCTTTCTTTTCGAAATATTTTTTGAGACGTCTGAAAATTCTTCTGTCAGAAAAACATCTTAAAATCTGTTTTATGACATCTTTAGGATGTCCCAAAGATGTCCATGTCTCTAAAATTATATTTAGACGTTTTAAATCATAAGTCTTTTAGATGTCTTTTAGATGTCTTTCAGACGTTTTATTTGTGCCATCTTTTAGACGTCTAAAATGACGTCTTTAAGACGTCATGATGTTCTCTGGGAAATAATTTATTAGACGTACTATTTTAAGTTATATGGCCGTGTTGATGTCTACACTACCAATATTGAAAATCTATAATTATATGTAACATTAATTATATTTTCGAAAATCTATAGTTTACGTTACGTATATTACCATTTTCAGTATTGACATACAACAAACACGGCCATTGTTTATTTAAATTTTTTATATAGCACACATACATTTGACATATCAATGGCTGCATTCAGAAGAACATTTTATTTTGCAACTATTGGAAGTTTTCTTTGCGCTGATCGGATCATACTTTTAGATCTGTGGGAAAAGCGGGGGACGAGGGGGGGAGAGAGGTCTCATCTCATATCACAAAATGGTCACAAAACTGTTGTGTTCTACTAAACGTAGTCAATGTATACATTTTATAAATAGATATATAACAAGGTATAAAAAATAATATATATAACGGGATCGATTTTTAAATCGCATTTTACAACAGGTATATTGTTTACATTTTTCAGAATCATTAGAATTATCTTGATATCTGTCATTTCGTTATGTTTATAACTTTCACAAGTTCCTGTATCTTATCTTTTAATTCTACACAAACTGTTTTCGCATCTACCTTTTTCTACGTTTGCTCAATAAAACTTTGCAAGATCTTTAATATTGATTTATAATGAATTTTCTCCAATAGTGGTAAACTTTTAATGAGACATTATATACCTTTAAGAAAGATAAAATATAAATTATATGTTATTAAGGGAATCCTAAAATCTGTTTTACCGGTTACTTTTTAAATAACTATTTTTCTAATTGCCTTTGCAGATTAAAAAATTCTTTTCCACAATTAAAGTATAAACAATAATGTAGTCCAAATCGGTTGACTTTATGCCAATAATGGAAAAAAATTAGAAAATTATAGTTTTGTTACCGGCTTCCGATACATCGCCTCATAACATTTGTTTTATATACAAATTCTATATTTTGTACGAATAAAACAATGTTAGTTTGAACTAGAGATTGCATGAACAAACAATTGAATTTTTAGAATTAGATTTAGACAAACTGTTGTAAACAAAAACTTGGAAAATTAATAATTTTTTAAAAGGACTTTTTTTGTTATAAAATTTAATTAGTAATTTGAGTTAGATTTTTATTTTAAAAGCTGAAAATTGAATATATAAAGTCAACCTGCCATATATGTAATTCGAACATGTCACTCAATTAAAAAATCTTGAGACAAGATCACTTAATTTAACTAGTATTCAATTAGATCCAGGGGATCCAGGGGATATGGCGATCGTTCTGATATGGTGATCAAAAGTCTTAAACATCGTTTGCAAAATTCAGAGCTGACCATCACCAGTTTGCTGAGCGCGAATCTACAGTTTGTATGTTATATTCGTCGTTTTAAGCTCAATTTCACAACTCGTGGTTAACTCTTAAGGTTCAACTTGTTTCTCATCTTTTTCCAATTCTAAAATTGGAAAGAGACAATAAATAAGTTGAATCTCGGTTAATCAGTGTGGAACTGGATCTTATCGAGATATTGGCACACATATTAATGGACTGTGAATAATTACATATATATAATTTTGATATTTACATATATATAATTTTACCTATTTAAATTAACTAAATATGCCTCTTGCATATCTAATAAAAAGATAAGTAAAAAGATAAATAAAAATTTCCTCTTTCACTGCAGTGAAAAAATTTTCCATTTCAGGAGCTTTCTCCAACTTCACACATGTCTTCCACAGGTTATGTTCACTTTCTTCTTGAAAATGAAATAAAATTTGTAGATAGAAATAATATTTATAATAAATCTATATCTATGAAAAATAGCCAACTAAACTAATTAGTCAATTAATTTTGATTGTATTTATGCATAAATTTATGCACGGCCGCAATCAAACCTAATGATTCGATCAAACTAGTATGTTACACATTTATTAATAATTTTGCTATATTGACTCATTTTTCATAAATTTAATTTATTTTGAAATTTGAGGTTACGTTGAAAAAATAACAAAATTAATATATAGATACATATCTTAATATTGTTAGATAAATATTGTCATAAAAATAAAAACATTTAATCAATATAATTATTTATACAATTATAAGTGAGATATAAAAAAGATACCCGAAAATATATATATATATATATATATGTTCATTATATAACATTTTTTCTCGGATAATTTCAGTGCTAATAAATAATTTAACTCTTTTAAGATTATGAAGTTATCATGACCATGAAGAATGTGTAATTAAAAGGGTTAAATTATTTAACACTGAAAATATGTAAATTAATTTGCTACGTTGTGTCAATCAATTAGAAAGCATCCATTGTGTTCTGTATAAGATACTTATTGGAAGTTTGGAACACGGTTTAGTTTCATAGTGTAACACCAGAATGCATTGTAGTCTTCCATTCTTATTCTTATGATTATATTTAGCGTATCAATAATAGAAATTTATGATTTTAATTTAGATTTAAGTTAATAAATCTTTCAGAATTGACGGTTTTATTACAAAATAAGTACGCCTATCAGATAACTATAGAATTTCAGTAATGACAGTAAATTTTAGTAGATTTTTATAGTATTGAGCAGTTATTACATTTATCGTACGACAAAGCATTTTAAGCCCTTGATTGGCTGTAAGACAGAAGAAGTTGATGGATCTCTTTATCCAATCAATAAACTTAAAAACTTTATTATACAACAAATATAATACCAATCTAATCCCACCAGAGAAAAACCTAAGAGCGGTCACCTTTTTCCGTTTGACGCTTGCTTTTTTTGGCTAAACTGTTATATCAGTTCATCTTTCTTCCTCTTCTTTCTTCCTGAAGAACTGGTGCAAAAGTTCAGAGTTTAGTCAAAAAGAACAGGCCTTTTGAAGCTTCCATACACTAGCGACACCAACATCAATTTTATAGAATGATGCGATCTACGTATTATTACCGACACTGCTGAAAAAATTGATGTGGTGCAAGTCTTAGGGTCTCTTTCTTTCCTGCAGCCAATCAACGTGTTTAAAAAGTTTATCGACCGACACATGTAATATTTTACAAAAGTAAATATTACAAAAAGTATTAAAAAAAAACATGTTTGTTATAGTATTTTAAAAAGCTCTCAAGATAAGTTACAAGGGTATAAAAAGGGGGTTTTTATTTTTTTTAATTGACCTCGACGACGTCATCAAAGTGATAAGACTACAGTAAATAGAATTTTAAATCCTAAAATTATTATCTGAACATATTTTTTATTGGATTTTATTCTATGAAAATAAAAAGAGTGTACGAGTAGTCGAAGACATCCTGTATGTTACCATGATGTAAGAATAAAAGGAAACACTTTTTGGCTGCTTTCGGGGAAACGCTATTAGCACTATTTGTGTCATTCTATCTTCATCGTTCATTAGACGTAAAATAATAGTGACAGATAGTGTATACAAATGGCGCTGATAGCGCGCTCCTCGAATAACTCTCTTATATTCTAATTCGTCGTCTACAATACACGTAGTAAGAAGTAAGAATAAGAAATTGATCGATTATTCTACTCACATTCGACTGTGATTGGTTAATTTCTTACTCTTACTGTCTCATCCACAGCTACTGCCATTGTAGACCGCACATTACATTATGTATATAATGTTTAATTTAAAGCTTCAACTTCAAGGACCTTAGTATGTCATATAAGAAATGCGTTCGGGGAAACGCTATTAGTGCTATTTGTGTCATTTTACTCTCGTTTTACATCTGGTAAACGATGAAGACAGGATGAAATAAATAGCGTCTTTCCAAACGTACCAAAAAATTTTTATTTATATAACTTTGCTTTAAAAAATATCAAACAAAGTTACTTTTAATAATTACTTTTAAAATATTTTAAAACAATAAATAATATTTGTAGAAGATAAAGATGGGCCTAAACTGCGTGCGACCTGTTGATCCTTTATGTGCTATGATACCAAGAAACATTAGTCTCGATGCTACACCAATTAAAGAATCAGGATTGCCAATTATCTTTCTGATTGGAGGTCCGGGAGCAGGAAAGTGTCCGTTGAATTTTTATTTGTAATTTTACATATGAATAAAACACACTTTCAAATAGTCAAACCAATAAAGTCAATATTTTTTGTATTTGCAAATTCTTTTCACTAATGAAAATATTACTAAATAATCTCGAAGAGATTTGGAAAATATATTAGCATTTTTTGACAAATAGAACATAAGTAAACATGATTTATTAGGTTTGTCCGTTTTGCTTGCACTTTTGCATCCAACACTTTGGTTTCTTTCTTTTCAATATCTATATGTATATTTATCTCACTTTAATTGCAAAAATGTTTATAGATTTTAAACACCAACAAATAAACTATATTCTTATTATTTGTTAACATTAAACAAGAACATTAAAATGATTCACTGTATTCACTATATCCTTGCTTGAAAATGCCTTATGTGTAAAATATAAGTTAAACACAATATTGTTATTACATTTGAAGATAATAACATGGAACTAGTTTTAACTTTTTTAAAATAGGAATAATTTTGATCTTTTCTTTCTACAGCGACACAATGTACACGGATAGCACAACATTACGGTTTTTGCGCCATTATAAGTAGACAATTGTTGCGCACTGAAGTAGCTACCGGTTCACAAAGAGGCGTTATCTTGGCATATTTGATGTCGGAAGGTAAATTAATTCCCTCGGATGTCATGGTAGAATTAATCAAGGCGAAGATGCTCAGCAGCTTACATGATACACGAGGTTTCCTACTGAGCGGGTTTCCTAGGGAGAAGACACAGTGTCAGCATTTCGATAAACAAATTCGAACACCAGATCTTGTCCTGTATTTATACGTCAGAGACTCACTACTACTAGACAGAATCCTAGCCAAGACAATCACCGCCACTGAGAGGCCACAACGCAGTATCGAAGAAAATTGGCAACGAATTAAGGAACAGAGACGACTGATGAAGCCTATCTTTAGATATTACAAAAAACAACTAGTGATTATCGATGGCGAAAATGATGAGACAGAAGTTTTTGAAGACATTTGCAAAGCGATTGATAAAGTCATGAATTTTCCAAATAGGTCTAATAAAAGCGGTTAATTAGAATTATGTGTTCGTTTACATAATAATTGTGCTGAACTAATGCTAATTAATGCATCGATTATTATGCAAATTTATAAATTGATTAATAGAGTTTTAAATTGCACAATGGAAATAAACTGTACCTTGTTTTGTGCCAAAAATATTTAAAAAAAAACTATGCTATATATTAAAACAATTATTATATATACGCGTATATAGGTATTATAATTAATATTCTAACAAATATTACAACAAAAATAATAGAATATTAAAAAGAAGAAATACTGTTTTCTTAATTATTTCTTTACGTAATTAGTCAATAACAAATAATATTAAAAAATTGATTTATAGATAAAATACAATTGAGCCACTTGAATCCTTAAAAAATATTTTTATTAGTATATGTATTTCAATCGAAAAGGAATTTCAATTCGCATCTGCAAAATCGTTCCTTTTCTATGATTAAAATACACATACTAATCCCAGCAAACACAGATATAAATGACATAAGCTGCATAATCATAGTCATATAAGGCTGCTGAATTATAATGAGCGTCTTATATAAATTGAGTTGACGTTTTTATGTTGGATATACATTGGTCGAGCGACTTTATGTTATGGTTATGCAGCACACTTTATCCTAGAAATATTCTTGCGAACGTTCTCAGAACATTGAGACATCTTCAGAGGCGTGCTCAGTTTCGCGGGTGTTTTCCGGGTGTCATCCTTGTTTAACTTTCAATAAACAAGGATAGAGTGATACCTGGGTGATACTCTGGTAGAACATAGGCCAACCTGTTCGATTTTTAGAATTTTCCTTGGACATCTGTGTTATATGAGAAGATTCCACGTTTATTTATGGGTTGAAATTCTTATTTTTTATTCCTTGTTCCCTATTTCTTTCATTATACGCAGCCTCTGAGTACTCCTTCCTTGCGCACCCTACACTCTGTGATGTCCCTTCCTCCATGCCGCGAGATTCTTCCGCATCTCATCCTCTTCAGAATCCCATGGGTTAGAATCAATTTAGCTTACCTATCATCCGACAAATGCCAAACTCCAGAAATGCATGGAAATTAAGAAATTGTGATAATACATATGTACAAATGCAACTTAATGTTAATAATGTTTTCCAATTTTTATTTTGTCATATACAATTAACATATTTAACATATTGTATATATTTGGCAACATTTCTCGATCTTATTTGTAATGTATAATCATTCTGAAATGGCTTCCTTACATGACTATATAAGATAAGCCAAAATTGCTCCCATAATTATCCAAATGAATGATATCCATTAAAAGAGATATTTTCACTAGAAAAATGAAAGCTGAAAGAAAAGAAATTGTGAATATTTTAATACAAGACATTTAATTAATCTTAAGTCTACCTCCCCCTCTGCATAGGAGTGTAACGACTCATGCGGGTGAATCATTTTCAAAGTCAAATATAAAAAAAATATCTTTTTTTATATTTGACCTTGAAAATGATCTCGTCGATAATTCAATTTTCATTATCATATTTGTAATCGGTACACAGTAAAATACATTGGTACATCAATCAACAACAAAATCGAAATATTCACCCTTTTGAAACTTTATTCATTATATATATTTGTAATGTATAAATTTATACATTACAATTTGTAATGTATAAATTTATACAATGTACAAATTTATATAACATTTTAAATAATACTCTATAAAACTCATTATGTACGTGCAATAAATAGTTTATAAACGCAAGTTTATAAAATATTAAATTTCTTCTTAATGTCATTTTTTTCTCTTTGATCATTAAAACTTTTTTTATCGCAGTTAAAAAATATTTGTAAAATAAAAAATTTGTCTTACCGAAGAACTACCGTAATCGTAGCCGCACTTAACTAATTCATATGCTAATTCACATCCTTTAAATTTTTTTACTGTAAAAATAGACATAAATAGAAAATATATATACAAACAAATTATATATTACAATTTGTGATAATAATTATTTTCAATTTAATTTAATAGATGTTTTATTTAAAAAATTATATATCAATTTTGCTTACCAATTGGTAGACAATGTTCTATTGTTTTCATAGCAGGTGGTATATATTCCTCTAATAACATGGTTTCTACGATATTTTTTAAAGCTTTTTCTACTATCTTGTCATCCTTCATCTAGAAAAAGAGAAAGATAAATATATTTATGTAATCAAGATTGTAAATGAATCTGGAAAACTAGGCAAACAATCCCTTTATTTAAAAAAAGAACAGCTTATAATGCATAAGTTACTTCTTATATACAAGTTATTTTATCAATATCAGTCTTGCAGAATATAAATAAATTAATGGTCATTTCTATAGTTGCCTATATAGAAGATCAATGTGGACAATCGAGATAACTATAAATGTCCGTAATAGTAAAAAGTAAACAGCAGTTTGCAAACACAACTTGTTTCTACTTTTTCTATTTATGTAATTTAAATGATTTTAAAAATATCTATGTTTAAAAAACATTTATAGAAAATTCCTGAAATTTTACTTACAATTTTTGTATTTAGCAGTATACACTTAAAGTAACATTGAAGTCTCCAATCCGATACGAAATTACCTTTGATTGTGTCTGCGATCATCTCTAAGTACAAATCAATATTATAATCTTAAATATATTTTTTATTTTTATTATGTTACTTTTTAAGAATTACTTTTAATCTGTATACAAAGTATATATAGATTAAAAGTGATTTTAAAAAAGTAATATAATGGGAATAAAAAATATTTAAGACCTACGGGATTACTTTTCGTGAGCAGGTAGAGCGGACTGAAGTGAATCAAAAAGTCCTTTATCATTTTGCAATTTTCGCAATGCTTTAGGAGATATTAATTTCTAAAAATCATTGAATAAGCACGTATTCGCGGGATCTTTATAAATAACTGCCCATTGCATCGATCGCGCGCGTATTTATTATCGAAATTTGCTTAAAGCCAATGATTTAATTTAAATAAACATTTTAAATTTAAAATTCAATGAAAACAGTTTTAATTTTCATAATAAAATTAATCTATCTCTCAATTAATATCAAATTTAAAGATTTAATTAAATTTAAAAAATTTACATTTTGATTTAAAAACGCTACGAATTAATTCCAACACCTAATAATATAATAAATTAATTTATATATAATAAATTAATATAGTTTTAAATATTTCATTTATTATATGTATCCTAATACCAGTCAAATATTAAATACATTATGTATTATTAAACTTTATTTAAATTTTAAAAGACATTGTTATATACTTATATTATCTAAATATAATTATATAATATTTGAAGATTTTAATTTTTGGTTACATAAAAATTTTGTAATACATTACATAAGACTGCAGTTTTTTATACATACTTGGATCCGTGCCCACTTTATCAATGCAATACTTTTGTAATGGTAATATAGCTTCCTTCGCCTCCTCAAGGGACATTCTTTTCTACAGAATTAAAAATAATTTAATAATAAGTGAAAAAATGCGAAACATTAAGATGTCTAAATAAATATATGAGTGTTTAACGTTTCGTATGATTTTTGGACGTTTCGAACAGTTTAAAGAAAATTAGATCGATGAATCTTTATTTTCATGCAAACAACATTAAACTACTTGTATTAAAAAATTGGAAAAAAAATTTAATAAAAATTTACCTTAAATTTTTTGAATAACACCAAGTTTTTTCTAATATTATAGGTCTTCAAGACAAATTCAACGAATATATTTTATTGATTTAATATCAAATTTGTAACATTATTTTAATTAGTGTGTGTGTGTGTAATATTTATTAGTTGTATAGGTAATGTTCAAGATCTTCGAAAAAGAATAATTACAACTTGTGAAATTTTCAATCCAAATAATATAAAAGCTATCCAATATAATAGAGATTTATTCGAAAAACATCCTGAGAATGTCCTTAGGACGTTTGAAGAACATATAAATGTCATTTAGATATCTTTAAAACATCTCTTGGAGATCTGTGTTGCATAAGCATGCGTAGTAATTTTTGAAAAAGAATAGAACTTTGTGTTTCAAAACGAACGAGCAGTTTAAACGTTGTCTTAGATAAGAGAGTTCTTTTCTTACTGATGAATATTTATGATTATGTTTACGTGTATCAATAAAATCAATAAGATTGACATTTCCTATATTGTTAAGTTAGTTTTAAAAACCTCTGCAATATTATGAAAAACAATTGCATTGCGCCATTAAAAAAATTTAAGGTAACTAATTTTTTATTCAAAAAATATTTTTAATTTTTTTATTGTAGCTTGCATGAAATAAATACCCATCTTTAAAATCTTTACACTAAATTATCGGAAGCGTCCCAAAAATGTCGTGGACAGTTATGCTAAACATTTTGTATAAATTATAAAATGCACCAATAAGAGACTTATTTTTATATAAAATGATTTAAATATATTTTTCGTAAATTATGATGTGATTTTTTTAGTATCTAATTATCGTTTGTAATTACTAACACATGATAAAGTTTGCAAAATTAGTTAAAAAAGTGGTTTTTATGAATTGTTTTGAACAATATATACACATATATATATACATAACAATATATACATATAAATGTTAAATATTAAAAATGTAAGAAATGTCTAATACCAAAAAGTATTTTAATTTTTTTGTCAAGTAAAAATATTATCTTTTTCTCATCTTCAAGTATATACACACAAATATAAATTACAAAGTTTATATTAAATTTTTAATTTTTTTTTTCAATCTGCTGCTTTAAATTCTGCAAACATTAAATTATTTTTGTAAGAATTTATAATATTAAATACTTTATGATTTATAATATTAAATATAATATTAAATATAAACAATTTTTATAATTTTTCTTAGTTATATAGCTTATTTATTGATGTACTTATGCATATTTGCGAATCTAAATTATTAGTCGTATGTCCGCGTATCATATATATCGTTGCGTATTATGTGGATGGGAATGCATCATTGTGTATCCGAATTTTATTACAATATGCAAATTTATTAAATACGCATTGTACAGTATCATTGAATTGATATACAACGATAATACGATACGTGGATATACAACAAATCTATCTGTTTTAAGAAACTTACACCTTCGCTATTTTGAAGATTCGCCATGAGCACGAATGAAATGAAGAAAATTATACCAGTGCCTTTCATTCTTATTTGTTGCCTTTGATTTTGTTTGTTCATTTAATCTCTTTTTTAGCTCGATATAGATGAATCGCCACTAGACCTGACTGTTGCAAAGCGCACGCAAAATTCAATCGTTTATTTTTATATACAGAAGTAAAAGAGAAGGAGAATCTTTAATTTCATGAGGTGGCACATCTGATAGACTTAAATTATCGTTTTGGTTGATGTAATTAACGATACTTAACGCTAATACTGACATCCGGGTCTTATTGTCATTCCTAGAGGTTAGATAATCATAGTACATTATGCAAGTGCGTTACTTTCGGTCTCGTGATTATGTATTTGATGCAAAATGCATAAAAGAATAGATATCAAGGAAACAAGATAATTTTTACCCTTAAAAATAATATTTACTAATAATTAACTACAATTTTTCAATTATAAAATTAATTTTAATATTTTTAGCTTTTGCTTTCCTGTTATAACATATCTTTTCCCGATTATTATATTTCTAATAACGTGAAATTATTTTTTTATCATTTTCTTAATTTATCATTTCTTTAATTTTAGTTTAATTGCTTTAATTTTAGAATTTTAGTGAAGAAAGTAAGAAATTTTTAATAATACTGTTGAGAATATAAATTTAAAAAATATATTTACTAGAATTTTAAAAAGCAAATCGTTAATTTAAAAAGTAAAAAAGTATGTAGCACATAGAATAAGAAATAAAAGAATATACAAATGTACATATAGAAATAGAATATACGATAATCGACTTACTTTTAGAAAATAATTTTTTTTTTAGCAAGATGTATACTGCTTAAATTACACTAATTAATTAGAAAAAATTAATAATTAAAATTGTATTAAAAATATAATCAAAGATTGAATTTTATTTGATTTATATATTCTTTTATTATAAATATAATTTATTAATTTGTTACAATTAATGAAGATATAATAAAGATATATCACTGCAACACCTGTAAGAATTAAAACTGCATTTAAAAATTTACGGACTTTTTCAATAAATTACGATCAAGTGTTGCATAAAATCATAATAAAATCACAATATTAAATATTAAATAAGATATGTTAATTTAACTTATACAGTGTTTTTAAAAATATTTTCTAGATTTATATTTGTCTCTGTAATGTTTGATTAATTAGAGCGGTTTTATACCTATTTTTAAACAAATATTTATTTTATAATGCATACACTTTTTACTGTTTTGTTGTATACTTGATATACATTCTTTATCTTAGTAAATTTTTTAAAATGAGATTTCTATTACTTTTAATTTCGTTATTATTTCGTTATTGTAACGCTGCGATGTTTAAAATTAATCAGTTAATTTTAATAATTAAATAATGCTTATATAATTGCACATTGCTTATTATTATTATTAATCACATATAATTATGTATATTTATACGAGTATAGTTTTGTATATTGCACCTTGTCCTATCATTTTACAAATCTATCAGTTTACAAATTTATTAACGATTATTACCGAATTGTCTTGACACAAAGAATTGGAATTAATACAATTTTACATAACGCTAAACGTAATTACACTTTTCATTATATATAATATATCATATTCTGTTTCCATATTTACGTTTGATATTGGTTAAGGAAAGAAGAAGTGATTCGGATCTGTTTGATAGCTACATTTTACAAATTGATAAGTTGTTTCGCAATCATCTCCAGCAGGTGCTGTAAAAACGAAAGAATTCCATTTATACATCTACTTTTATGTTGTAATTTATTTTTATACTAATTAACTAATAGATGAAACTATTTTTTATAATAAAGATCTCTATATGAAGTTGTCGAAAATAATCTTGATAAATCAGATTTTTGCAAAACTGTAAAAATTATTTATTACAAGTTGTCTTTTATTTAATGAAAATTTGTTTTTAAGATTAAAAAAACAAGATTTTAAGGAGGAGGTTTCATCTTTGTCGGTCGTAATTAACTTATATTTAATTCTTCATAAAAGGTATTTTCCGCCAGTTTTGACTTTTTTTTTGAGGAAAATAACGTGTGATGATTTACGTCCTTTACGCGCTGTCTTTTTGATTGATATCTTTGTTATTTGATTCTCAAGATGTTTGTTACTTTCAGTAAATTAATTTATAAAACCGACATTGAATGTACAGGTTGTGTAACCGACGCGATGCATGACAAAGAACGAAATTCAAGTAGTTCTAACGGTATTCTGCCTCTCTTTTCTTCTAAACTGTATAGCATATAGAAAGTCACAGTTATTTTTTATGGACTTCTAAAAATGTCAAAGAATAAATAAGAACGGATATCTATTGATTTCTTCTGAATAGTAATCTGAGTAATAACTTGATGATCAATAGTGTCTAGAACACTATTTTATTCCGATAAACGCTTGGAGGACCCCGTGTGTCGTTACGTATTTGTAATACTGCGACTTTCAAAAAATCATTTTACAAAGATATTTTACAGAAATAAAAACCAGCAAAAAAAGTCGTCAAAAGTAAAAGTTTAATTAATAATTCTCTCTTTTTTCTCTTATATACCCTCCTCTTTTCTTTTTCCTCTCTCTTAAATTTTTTTATCTTTATTTAAAATTTATTTTAATTTTTATTTCATGAAATTGAACTTACGTTCTGCTGCACATTTAGTCAAAGACACTTTTAAAGGACCTGCCATGTCAGGTGGCATCATCAGATCCATTTGTTTAATCATCATGCCATCATCTATGCGTCCATTTTTGAACTTAATTATAAAAAAGATACATTTAAATAGTATATAATTATATTTAATTGTATATTTTATTTATTATTATATTAAGTAAGGTAACTATATCCAATACGGTTTAACATTCAACATTTGTTGTTTGTATAAGCAGTTAAATGAATAGTTAAATCTTACTCATATTCTCAGTTATTATTGTTAAAAAACATTTCCTATTTTTGATCGGATCATCAGTTTTCAATATTGGACTTATAGTAAAAATCGTAATTAAATAGGCATATTGGATATTTATATAGTTACTTTTTCTTGTTCTTACAGTTCGCATTGTTTTCATTATACATAGTGTATAGCATTTTAATGGTTGATTGTCATCTGGAAATTCGCCTTTTTGTATTCCTGCAACAGCTCCTTTAAAGACAAAAAACGTACATGTAACAAAATTTAACAGATAAATCATAATATTTAATCGCCAAATTTACAGTTGTGAACAAAATGCAATAGTTATTTTTAAATTACATTAAAAATTAACATTCAGCAAAATCTCTGAAAAAAGATTATCACAATTTACAATTTTGCAATATTGCCAATTAAATGAATAACTTATTTAAAAATTTAGAACTGTGCATAACAATGTTGATGGATGATATTTTAAAATAGATTAATAATTAATTTACAAAAATTAAAATTTTTACACTGAAACGCCGGTATATACTACAATAATTCTTATTTGTATGTAAATACGAAGAAGAATAGTATATCGCTACAGAATAGTTTAATGTATCTTCAATAGTAGGTGATACTTGATTCCGTAAACAAGAATTAAAGCAGAATTTACTGTAATTGCATAAGCGAATTGTACATTTCCGTATAATGTGCGTTATTCGATTTTATATCTAATTATAAGTATTGTTTTATTCTAAATACAAGATAAAAATATTTAAGAATATATGTTTTTATCTTATATTTAAAAAAAAGTTATTGAATTTTGCAATCGTATAAACCATACACAATTTAATTAATATTTTAGTTTCTTGTTGAATGTAAGCAAAATTCTGTGATAAAAATATGAAATAAATGAAAAATAAGTAATATTATTATGTTCTGCCAGCCCGAATAAAAATTTTTATATACAATTATATTTGACCACATACAAAATCATTGAAAGAAAAATTAATGTTTCGAGTTTATGTAATTTTAAATCGTGTTATGCAATTTCTATTTTATAATAAAACAAGAAAAGAGTAAACAATAAGAAATAAGTTGAAAAATTGGTCACTTCTAAGAGGAGGGGAGGTGAGATGGACTTCGCTTCGCATGGAAAGTCAAACGCCTCTAGGCAGGGAAGAGAGGTGGGGCAGACGTCAAAACATTGTTATATGAGAAAATTAAAAATTAAATTCATTTGTTTTCTTAATAACTTTTTAACGAGTAATGACCGACGATTAAAATGTCTTTAAGGTCGTAACTTTGACAATATATTTCAAGGTTAATATCATTGGACTAGAGTTTCCTCATCTTTATTTTATTCTGTTTATTGATATGAAGAGAACTCAAACTAATGATCGAAATGTATACTTGTATCAATTGTCTTATTATATTGTATAAAATAAAATTTGTACACACTGATATCCTGTGTTGACTCAAAAGAAGGCAATTGTAATTAGTGATTTATTCCGTCAGAGATTGTATTATTATTTTATTTTACTCTGAATAATATACGTATATAATAAGTTCAGCCCTCCAATTAATTCGTGTTAAAGTTAGAATGAGCTACTCAAGCATTCGCGAGAAAAACACGTTTAAAGATTTATATGTTGTTAGTGTACCGATCGATCGATAAGATCGAATTGGCGAGAAGCGGAGTAATATACAAGTAGTATGTAATGCATTGAGCTACAATGCTTTTGTTGTAATGCTTTTGTTGGACAGTCGAAATTCGTTACGGCAAGCATAAAAATCCTAGCAAAAGTAAAAAAATAATTTAAAATGTATTTATTACATAACAAACAAATTCAATTTAATAATGTAAATTGCATAATACAATTTAAAATTATTATATAAATTTTAAACATTAATTTTTCGGGTAAAAAAATACACATACCTACATAATAATACGCTGCAATACAGATACAAAAAATAATAAAAAATTTGTAAAAGTAAGATTCGAATCCAAGATACGCAACACATCTTGTAGTTCGACATCTTATTCACTACGTCACGCTGCTTCTTGCCGAGAATTCGTTTTTACACCGATTGTACATTAACAATACGTAAATCTTTAAACGCATTTTCTCCATAAACAGTTGAGAGGCATATCCTATAACTTTAACACGAATTAGTTGAAGCGCTGAATTTATTATGTATTGTATATATATATATAATTCAATCAAATTGAAGATTGCTCATCTGGGTGTCTCCCTTGTAAGTTAGCTTTTGGTCTGTTTTACAGATAAGAGTGCTGGTTTATGCTGCACCCTATTTTCTATTAAAAATTGTATATTATGAAGAAATTGAGAAAGAAAAAAATATAAATAAAATTAATTTAGAAAATTACAAACATGTAGAACGATGTAATATCATCAATTATGTAACCATTATTATTGAAACTATGCAATTTGCGAAAGAAAATTGTAAGAATTTTATTTTCGTATTTGTAGAATTCGTTTTTAACTGATTTTGTATAAAAACAAATCGCAAGTATATGACTTATAAATTATTTTTTTCTTCAATTATCTAAACAGATGTTTTTCAGTATTGATAAAGTACAATAGCTAGTTTCTAAGAAATAAGTAAGTTTCTCTTTAGGAGTATGTCAGTCATCGGTGACTTTTACCATTATACATATATTTTTAACGCTGTCAATCGTGATATTATATACAAAAATCATAAATATTAATATAAATTATGAAACATTTGAACTTACCGGCGTCTGCGTGAGATTTCGATGTACACGTATTTCGCATACTCAGCGCGGCTTTTTCAATTTGTTCCATTGTCATCACCTGCATTACAATAAAATTCAATTATATTTTTTGTTTTTAATAATAAAATAACAAAATATAATAAACAATAAATAACAAGAAAGAGCTACAAGATAGAATTTTAATGTATTTCAAATTCTTATATACGGAATATACGTTTTGACATTATTATTAGGTCATCTTCAGTGTAAAGAAATTAAACGCAAATTTGACAAAATTAATAAAACAGTTAAAATTATACAATTTATAGTTACGCAAAAAGTTGGTAGTATTTATTCTATCTATCTTTCGCACAATGCAATGCTTTTCGTTCTAATAATATTATTGGTTATATTCTTCCATTACGCTCGCAATAGTCCAATAATAAAAATATTGAACATGAAGATTAAATAAAAATGTATCAGCACACATTCTGTTATCAAATTAATAAAATAGATTTATAAAAATTAAAATAACAATAAATGATCATTATATTCAAATTGATTTATATACAATCCTTATTTTAATAGACAACTATATTAAAGTGTGTTTAATAAATAAAATTATTGTACATATACCTCAACTGATAAACCAGAATATAATCAATGTATAATACATTAAAAGAAATTATGAAAATAGAGATATTTAATTACTTTTGAATAAATAAATTTCTTTTTAATATATTACTTTTTCAATAGTAGTACTTTATAATAGCAGTATTAATATTGTAATAATTATGTTTATGAAAAACTTATGTAGGTCAAAATACACGTTTTCTTAAAATTTTTATATTTTATTTTTATTTATATTTCATTTTTGTTTATAGTTTACTAATATTAATTATTAATATAGACACTAATGTTTACTTTTTATAAAATTCACGAATTCTCTTTTTTTAATAACTTATAAATTATTTTAAAATTTAAAGAGATATATAATTTTTCGGATATGCACAAATTTAAAATTTAATTTTTTAAATTAAAAATAAAAAATTAATTTCTTACTTAAAAAATAGGATTGTTTAATAAGTTATTTAATAGATTGTTTAATAGATTAACTTACAGCATTTGCTTGATTCGCTGCGATCAACATAATCGTGCAAATTAATAAACGCGCACACATTTTAAAATATTTTCGATTATGCATCAAAATAGAAATAAATTTAATCCGAAATATTCCCTTGAATTATCGACGCAATAAATTACCAATCCACCGTGATTAGCCTTCGTTCCTCTTTTATAAAGACTAAGCTAGTCAACAAGTTGTTGGTGGTTAATATATCTAGTAGTAATTTCGTTTAGGAGCTTAATTTCGTAGCATTTGTCCGTATAAAATACATACTTTATGCAGAAATTATGTCGAGACGAGGTAAGAAGCTTCCGCGATTTGTCATATCGAAGAAAGAATTAACAATTTGCGACATATAATGATATGTCATTAAAATGTTTCAGTTGTAAATGTCTGCAGATAATTTGCGTTAGATTTTTCAAAATTAAAATGAAGGAATACACAAAGATCTGGCTTTAATTATATGCAGATGATTCTGGCTTTAATATATAAGGACGTACAACAAATGTATGTGACTATTAATTGTAGAGATATAAAACGTTGACATAGGAGACATAGGAGAAAGTGTCAGAGAAGGTAGGAAAAACTGCAACTATAATAACTTGCCAATGAATAACTTTCGCTAGTATGAGCAGCATGTATGAGTAAGAAGAATGGCAGTTCAAGGTAAATGGTTTATTGTAAGAGCGCCTCCGCTACGATAAAAGAATTTGACCTTAATTTAAATCGCTATTGAAGAATTTGATCAAAATGTCAACAAAAATGCAAAATTAACTAATGCTTATTCGTTTGATAAGACATATACATTGTACATATTTATATCTACGATCAAGATAGAGTGAGAAAAAGATTAGTTGAATTAATAAATTACATATCACAACATTTTTCGTTTCTATTCTTAAAAAATATGTGTATATGCTTGTATAACAGTCTTCTGTGCATCCAGATATTTATTATGCTTCACATGTTTCACATTTTTAAAGATATGGAGTACATGACTGAAGTTTCGCCTGTTTTTGATTAGAACTATGACTTTAGTATAATCCCGCTTGGCTTTGATAGTTTAAGCGACGCATCCCTTGAATTTATATTCTTATAAAGTCTTACAATCCACGTGCTTCTTTTTCTTTGCCTCATCCACGAAAAAGGTATATTTTTATGTCTGTCGACTGTGGGGAAATTTCGAGGAAAACTTTAAAGATGAGAAAGCTTGAATAAATTATTTCTGCACCTGAGCCCTCAATCTCAATATCTCATCATTAAAACATTCACATTGTACTTGAAATATATAACGAGACCATAACGATTTATTCTTATTCTAAATACAATTGTAAAATGCGTAATATTTGAGAATAACGAACAATATTCATTTGTGAAAATTTTAATAATAACTTAAATATAATTATAAATAGCTCTAAATCGTTAATCCCTCAATTATCAATACTATCTTTTTCCTACTTTTAGCATATTATAATAATATTTCTTAATTTTAACTTTTCAATACTTATTATAATTTTTCTATAATTATAAGTAATTTCCTAATAAATTATAATTTTTTAATGTTTATCAAGATTTAATATTTACTCGATAAATATTATTGTTTTCATTCATTACGCGCGTTCTTGCTAAAACTTTTAAAATAAATCTCACTTTTAAGGAAATATTGAAGTTGTTCTGTTTTACCGATAAAATGTGAATAATCTTCAGATCCTCCAATTTTTAATTGCATTTACAGATTCAAAAATCTTTTTTCACAATTAAAGTATAATCAAAAACACAACCTGTAAGCAACAACTTTAAACAAAAAGAAATTGAAAAATTATAATTTTGTTATCAGCTTTTGTAGTCGATTAGCGACATGTGCTGCATGTAAGAGTTTTAGACTTTGTACATTTAAAATAAGTTCGCATGAAAGATCAATACTATGCTTGTGGAAATGAGCCAGAAGCTTTAGTATAAGAGAAAGAACAATCTAAAAATTTCTGAATGTTAGAATTATTATATATATATAAATTGATATGAAAATTAAACAGAACAGTAATTGTATCTAGCAGTAGGTATTGGATTTTGCAAGAGATGGCGTTGTAATATCTTAGATATATGTACGTGTTTCAGAGATAGAAAATAATGCAAGAAACTGAGTTTGGAGTTAAAAAGTCTATATTGGTTGTATTCCAAAATTTACTGCCAATACTAAAAATCTATTTATGTCACGTGCACTATAGATTTTCAGTATACTAGTAGTAAATTTTTAAACACAATCATTATTGACATCGATTACGTTTGACGCTCCAGTATCCCCTTAAAGATTGAAAATTACTTTTTCAAGACTGGCTCAATTTCTAGTTTTTAAAGTGAGATTCCTCTCCAAAGAATTTAGAAAGTTTGTGTGCTACCATATTATCATATTATACTATTAATTTATATTATTATTCCTAATTAATTTTATTATTCCTATTGTGTTTTATTATTATTGTTACTATAATTGCTCTAAGTCTATATGTCACATCATTGAATTTATTTTTCCATTTTCTTTAAAATAATGTTTTGTCATGTCAACTATATTTTCATTCCCAAAAGTCTATATCCAAACATCATTCATCTTGGTATTGATCCATCTGATGGCACTTCTTCCAAAAGAATATATAAATATTTTTAAATTGCGAAGAGAGCGAGCATATATGGCTAGATTAGGAAGAACATTGTGAGAGATCGATATTGCAAAGAAGCAAAAGCATACCGGGGTGGAAAAGATTTGTGGTAAAATAGATTTTACTGGCGCAACTAGCTATTGAACTCACTTCTTTCGAAATTACGATCGCATGCTCTGCTGTGAGAAAAAGTTATCACAGCGGGAAACAGGAAGACAAATGGCCATTTGCAAAGAGCTAAATTATTAAGCGCTAAATTATAAAAAGTCAAGCTTTAATGATTGAGAAGAGCATAAAATCAAAGTTCATAAAAAATTAATATTTATGATTAGATGTGCATTTTTTTAGAATTACAAATGAGGTCAAATGGAATCGTAGTCACTGAATTTTCAAAGATATTCATATATATACATATAGATTAGAATTTAAATTATTATAGTTATTGCAAGGAGGATCCTATTTGCCTACATTCCCGATTGCACATATTACTTATTAAGCATACACAAGTTGTACACAAATTTCATTTCTCAGACATTCTTTTATTATTTTATTATTGTTATTCTGTGTCTTATTATTTATCTAAAATATGATTAATTGTTTTAGTGTTACATTTATTCTTTGAAAGTTTAATAACATTAATAATATTAATTTGCCATAATTTTAGAAATAATTAATAATAAACATAACTACATTTATTTAAAATAAGTAACAAACATAAAACTGTAAAATCTTTAATTGACTTGGAGATGGAAAATTTTGCATTTAATAACGTCAATAAAGAATCATTACTAACTTTAAATTCGTGACAGCGGCTTTATACTGGACAATATCGAACTACATAGAATCAGGTAGTTTCCAAGAGATTGAACAGATCGACCGAGCATGAAAAGCATTTACGATTTCCACTTTCTGGACACGAAAGAAACTCTTTACTCGCAACACCGCCGGAAGGAAAAGCTTTTATTGCCACCCCATTCGTGAGACACGTAGCTATATATACAGAGTGAACCATATAATTCACAATCAGAGAGAGTTCGTAGTAAAGTAATTTAATCTTTTTAAGTAAAATTTAATTTAAGTAATTTATATGATTACATTTCATGTTTTATTAATTATTTTTTTTAAGGAGCAAGCAAATATCAGATATCAAAACTTGCATAAAAATAATGATATAATGAAGATATACTGTTCATTTCATATATGAGGTATTTTAGAACAGAATTACGCCCAGTTTGGGTTCCGAATGAACAGTTTTTAGTTATAGTTTAGTTATAAGTATACTATATATTAATCGACAAGGAATTTCACAGAGCATTCACAGAGACAAAACAAAAAGTTTTAAAATTAAAATTAAACTCTGTCGGATATATCCTATCCCTTTTCAACTTCAGCCCATGGCACATATAAAAACGTAAGACAAGAGGATAATCAATAATTGACTAATCACAATAGAGACATAAAGATTAATGCTTTACGTTCTATTATGATTGGCCAATTCGCTTATTGCTTAATTATTACCTTAGGTTTTCTACGTATTTTTGATTTTCCTATTTCTTTAAAGCTCTCTAAAACACTGTTAACTGCTCTTGCTAGCACATGGATGTCTTCGTCAAGATATTGGGCATATCTCAGATACCATATGACTGTCCAGAGGTATTCATCATCCGAATGTCTCTGACATGGCATAGATCGCGTTCGAACTTAATCGGATTAATGAAAGAACAGTACTAAATGCATTTCAAATATTACTTCAATATTTTCAGTATAATCCGTTATCACCACGTTATTACGCGGAAGTACCCTGAATGTAGAGACCCAGGTAGCTATAGGATACGAAATCATAATTAAGTCATAATAATGATATCATAGAACGTCATCATGACGTTATTTGATACCTAAAAATTGACTTATAAGTGACGAATGAGATCATGATGTCCTCACGATTTCTGTATTCTATTTTACTTGGGGAAGACCAGTGATACATACTATAATATATTATAATCATAATAGCAAAATTTGGACAGCTCTAACATTCAGGACAGTCATTTCACAAGGTTGTGTCTGGAACTTTTGCGTGTGCATGTTCGTGAGTATGCATGTGAGTGTGCATGTGAATGTGCGTGCATGCGAGCGCGTGCGCGCGTGTGTGTTACCTTGGACCTAATTTCCATAAGAACTGGGCACAGTTCTTTGTCTTTCCTGTAAATTTTCCTTGATAAAAATTTTTTCATATAGAACTATATATGAAAAACGTATAGAACTATATATGAAATATGTAGCTGTACAATTGTATATATCTACATATACATGATACATATATAAATATACATGTAACTTTTTATTTAAATTTATGTCGCGTTATTGACATCATATTTTAAATGGGGAGCATATACTTTTATTTAATTGGTAAGATAAAAATGACATATTCATATTAGATTTCTAATACATATACTATATGTACTAATTTAAAATCAAGTCGCCAGTCCTTATTTATCGGTCCTCATATCAATAT